CTGTCTGTCTGTCTGTCTCTTTCATGCACGCACATGTCCTGCTTTAATCCAGTTTCTGACTAATGGAAATGGGTGGAATTTGTCCAGAGGAGGTCCGTTGAGCTCCACAAACAGCAGTGAAGACCTGCTGTCTTCACGCAATCTGTTCCGTGTTGCCCGTGTATTTGTGAATAAAGGTTTTGAATTTTAATACTGGACATGTTGAGCTTAAAAACATTTTAGTGACCATTAGCGACAAAAAAATAATTGTCCTGCCCTCACTCTTAGCTTAGCAGGTATATAACCATCATTTCCAATAACCACACTGTAAGCCTTTTCTTTGGATTTATTGGCTGGTATGGATGGATGGATGAATGAATGGTAAAACTGCAACAAAGAAATAATGTGCATAAGTCTTTGTGTAAACAGGCACAATTCCAAATAAACAGGCACAATTCTCCTAAATAATAAACTCAACATATTCCCTCAATATGTACAGAAACACATAATGACACAAACATGTTAACATTAGCATAACTAGCTAGCGGCATTGCTAACGGCTAGTTAGCGCGTATGCTAACGGCTAGTTAGCGCGTTTGCTAGCGTCTTTTTAAACTTCTCTTCTCGGTGACCTTTCTTGCAATAAACCTCCAAACACAACATGAAACATAGTACTATATGTACATAACCGAAATATACACCCTTCACACCAAATTACATGCTGTACTGGCCAAAAACGCAGCACAGAGAGAACAGATTTAGCTATGCAGTGTTTACTCCTTAAACAGGAAGACACCTACTGCTCAACTTTCGGTGCTTTCAAAATAAGACTATTCCCTATATTTTCCCGAAAATTCTCGAAGATTCCTCGGAGGACGACGCAGATGCGCGCCTGGGCCTACACAGCTCGTACTCCTGCGGGTGTGAGCGGCCGAGATGATAAAAAAAAAGTTGGTTGCGTTATCAGACTTTGTTTTCACTGGTTCCCTACACATTTTACAGATGACTGTAGTTTGTTTTTTGCCCGACTTGCCATGACCAAAATACTGCCAAACTGGCGAACTACAAAAACCCTTCTTTGGAATAATTTCCTCCGCCTCTCCTTGCTGCGACATCTTCATGTGCTCTGTGTTGTGGTTTGAGAGGGCGGCGCTTTGTGACAGCGTGCCTGGGTCCGCGATTGTGATTGGTTGGGAGGAAGTAGTGACTAGCATAAACCTACATGCTAGGCTACAATGAGAAGGAAGAAAAACAGCGTTTTTTTTATCAAACTTTTATCGACCCGCTTTTTTTCTATTGCGCCACACGTCTATCGATCGATATATATCGTTATTGAATTATCGCCCAGCCATAGTTTAAACATCAGCAAAAAGAGTCCAACAAAAGGAGGAGGAGGGGGGTTTGGTGTGTGTGATTCAGAGCTAAATTTGGTCTTTGGCAATGTTCTCCAACATATGCGTAAAAGGATTTTGGAGCTAATAAAGTCAAATAGCTTTGGGTTCGAGGTTTTATACAGAAGCCCAACAAGGCCTTGTTTTTGTTTTAAAAACATGCAAATTGGAACTGAAGAAGTGGTCTACCTATTTGGAATGGGGGTCGTTTGGCTGTTAGACTGCAATGCCCCATACCCATATTCGTTTCTGAAAGGTCGGTCGTTAAAGGGGATTTTTGGCCTGGCTGAATAGATGAGGTCCTCCGCTTTCCAGTACTCTCCTAACCATGACCTGAATGGCTAAGAACCTTCACCAGCATACTTCATTAAAGACACTTAATTCAAGCTTGAGAACCTAGTCGCTAAGGGTATAAAAAAATCTAGAATAATGACATGTGGGTTTTAAACTAAAACATGTCGATAAGACATTCTTCTTTTCCAAGTCTATAATCTGACCAGCCTTGGAGAAAGAGTAACGACAGATCGTTTTGACAAACACCAATATTCTGGAACAAACATTAACAATCTTGTTTAGGCTGCTTCTGTCCCTCACAAATAAAACAAACCAAATCAAAATGTGAGAAGAATTTCAACATAGGAACAATAACAATCTCTAAGAATCTTCTTACTAATCCAAAAAGGATGGACTCTGCAAAGCAGGTTTGCTGTTCTGCTGTAGTCTTAAATTTTGCCCTCCATAATTTGTCGTCCATACTGATTTATCTAGCTTTGTGATGTTAAGTTTGATTTCTGGGATTTCTGGCTTTTATTTTTTTGTAGTTATCTGTTTGTATTATTAAACAGCAACATTTTTGGTGTACATTTACCTTGTATTTTGCCGGCATTTGAGTCCTAGACAACAACCGGAATAGATTTTCCTGCAGGCATTGATTTGTAGCCCTTGATATATGTGAGAATTAGAAAAGTCATGCAAACAGTCAAATTAAGTAAATAACTTGGTTATGAACATGCTTTGGGTTTTGCTTTCTGTGTTCTTGTTCTTTATCATTTAAATAAACTCAAGAAAAAATAAGTTGCATTTAACTCAGTATAGTAAGAGTTGCTGGTAAATTGTAAAAATAAGTTGCATTTATTTGTATGCATTTATTAAATCACTGGTGTCCCTCAGAAATTTTTTTTTTCTTGTAAATCAACAAAAGGATAGAGAGATAGAGGATAGAGGGAACTCGTGGAGCCGAGATTAAAAAAGATAGGAATCTATAAGTTACATGAAGCAGGAAAAAATACCTGGTGCATAATCTGAGGAACCATTGATTAGTGAGAGCAGGAGACCAGTTTAAATATTGGGAATTTGAATGGAAGCTGAAGGAAACAATGTACTAGGGCTTATTGGTTAACTGTTTTGTTGTACCAGAGGAGAGAGCAGAATGGAGACTGAGAGAATAGAATGGCTGCAGTGGGTGAGGGAGACTGAACTAGGAAAATTAATCTAGCATAATCAAAAATCAATAGGAGATCAGCAATAAATAAACTCCTAGTGTGCAGATGAACGGATGGATGGGTATAATTATACTCTATACTCAACCAAAGACAAGCGGTGAGGTACCCTTTGATATTGTTTGCTGGTATTATCAAACTAGTGTTTATCACTTCAAAACTGGACAGATTAACCTTAAATAATACTTTGTACAATATAAATTCTCAAACATAATGCCTTTCTATAAGTTATGTCATTTGTAATATAAAATGATTTCATTCAAATCACCTTAAAGTTTTAATGTTTTTTAATTGGAAAAATATGAAAAATAATTGTCAAACTTAATCAAAAAACAGTTTACAATAAAAGATAGACATTTTCTATCTTCACATGTTTAGATTGATATTTTCTGATCAGCACAATTTATACAATTGAGTTAGTTCAGAAATACATTGTCAGAAGTTATTGACAAACTTGTCGAGCCTTACAAACAAATGAATATTTCTCTGCACACACTTTGTCATTCCATTTCTTAACTGGACCCCAGTTGGTGTGAACACAAGGTTCAGCTCCTCCTGCATTGTTTGGCTCTCCTGCATTCCAGAGAGTAAAATCAAGTGGAGACCCATCAGACCAGAAATATGCTCTGTCCTGCTGGGCGTCAGAGAGTCCAATCCAGTTCACTCCTTCGGCAGGATCAAAGTTTGTGATCAGGTCTTTAACAAAGTTCTCTTCTTTCAGACTGTGGATGGAAACCAGGTTGGCACCTTGTGTGTTGCAGTACTTCTCTGCATCAGCCCAGGTCATCAATGTGGCAACGTATTTGTAGCAGTTGTTGTCAAAGCTGTACCAGAATCTGTTGCAGTTGCCACGAAGCAGTGGAGTCCTCTGCCTTTCTGAAGGAGTCTCAGCAGCCAGAGAGAGACCAAACAAAAAGAACAACAACATCATTTTGGAGTCTGATGTCTTGTTTGGCTTTATCTGTTGGGAATGATGTTTAGAAAAGTTCTGGAGGGACAGAGTCATTCTCCTCTTTTTTATACTCTTCAGAAAGGGCATCTATCACATTTCTGTTAATGAGCTACTTTGATTCTTCATTTGATTTCCCATAACATCTATCATTTGTTATCTGTTTTCCAGCAATGGATTTAAATCGTTATCATTATGGCGGTTTGGAGATGTCATTGACTCCATGGTTGCCTCATGGTGTCAGTTAGGTTTAAACACCCAAACACTTATCAAATAACCTGGAGAAGAAGACACCAGATGTTGGAGAATGGAAAGATATGTGATCAGTTACCACCTGCCCCCTGTTCTGAAGCCCACTTGCTGACCTCCTCCTTACAAAATTTTACCCTGCAACCCTGAAGGAATGTGGGGAGTAAGTTGCAACGTGATACACATTCATTCCATTATGCAGTGACCTTGAGTTAGACACACAACTCAAAGTAATTCATTCAGTTCCTGGCACACCATAACTTGTTTTACAACTTTCTGCAAATGGATATTTTCTCCAGAGTATAATAAAGATACATGTTAAACAAGGTTGATACAGGATTAGATAAAATAAAATAGCACCTAGAGTGTCTTTATTACTTTCTCAATAAAATAAGACAAAAAATTGGATCATTGAATGAATAAGTAAATCATGAATTGAATAGCACCGATATTACTTTATATTTCGTTCTTCCTATTGCTATTAACATTCTTAAACTGTTTTGGAATATCCTTTTTCCGTTAATTTTGCATCTGTTAATGTGCGCATATTTTTTTGTCAGATCCAAGTACTACTGTCTTTAGACACCATGATAGCAGATGCAGAATGAAACAAAAAAGACAGAAGAAACTATCCTGTTAACATTAGGTCAGCTCTACGTCCTGACATGATCAAGACCCTCAACAAAACCTTAAGAGAAACAGCTAATATTACTTTATTTAAAGTTAATAAAGTAAAGCTAATCAGATAAAGTAATATATAAATATATACGCTTTACTATACTCTTTATCTGATTTAAATGGCAAAGCACCTACTGGATAAAAATAAATATCATATTTGAATTTATTGATCAGCTGTATCAATGATGATCTTTATCAAATGTTTTCACTAGACTTAATATATCTAAAAATCTTATAGGGAAAAGCTTGTTATAAGGAAAATTTTTAATGGAATTACTGAAAATATCTTTTCTTTAAAATCTAAAACAAAAAATATCATTCCAGATCAGAGCAGGATACCCAGTATTCAATGCAAGACAGACAGTATAAATATTCAAAAAGCATTTATAATGAAACGGCTTCGGATCTGCTGTAGCTAGGGCGTCTAAGGCATGAAACTCTGCGGGATATAAACAGAGGTTAGTGACCACGGTTTATAAGTTCAGTCCATGAGGTAGGATCCAGCTGGTGTTCTGCCAACAAGATGCGCTGGGTCTTGGATTTGTTTCATGCAAATGGCAAGACAATAAGACTTCTCTCAGGAAATCAGATCACCATTTGTTTTTTCTTTGTTCAGAGTATACGCCTCTTTGTAAAAGACAACCTGGATTAAAAAGAACTTTAAAAAGATGGGTACGGGAAGTTAAAGAGGCCCAGTAAGGTTTTGTGTTGAGGCTGCAGACTGGGATGCACTGTCAGCCACATGCCGAGGATATCAATGCAATGACTGAGTCTTAAACTGATGTCAGTGAAATTGATCAAAAGTGATTGGAAGGAACCAAGAAAAAACAAACCTTTTAGAAGATAGACAAATAATTGTTGACGAGTATACAAAAGCAACTCAAGGTCAACACATGACAAGATAATGAAAGGAAGCATTCTGGGAGAGGCCAGAAAGCAGGTTCCGCCTGAACAATATCAGATATGTGTCATCAGAGATTAAGAATATCACATGTTTCAAGTAAAATAATGATCAGACAGATAGTGTGGATAAAACAATAGGCCTTCTGCAACAAAATGTTCATGTTCTTGACGTAAATTTCTCCTACTTTTTCCTCCTACCGTATATAATGATGTAGCTTAATAAGATGGACCATTGCTTTACGGTAGCAGACAAATGTAATCATTTAGTGAAAAACTAGGATTGGATAACAGCTGACTGGTTGGACAAGACTCTTATGTCAAGTCTGAGGCACTCTTAAAATGTTTTCATACCTAAGAGAAGATTAGAAATTTGGCGAAAATTGGTGAATGTAACATTTTCTCCTTAACGACAAATAACGAATTCTGTTTGTATAAACAGTTTTTGCATGAGGCCCATGGAACCGAAAGCATTCTTCAATTGGTTCAGTTCAGAAACAAGGTTAAACTCTTTCTTCCTTTCCCGCAGTCAAATGGACATCCCGCGCTGCTTTGATCCAATGTTTCATCTCACCCAAATCTGCTTCTGACTCTTCAGTTTTTAAGAGTTTGACTACAGCCAAATAAGAGGGTTCTGCTCCCTCCAACTCTCATCCGTCTATCTCTAGAAGTCAAGTTTAGGGGCAAGTGAATCATAAGAGTGAATCATAAGAACAGAAGGAGAGACATAAAACCATGAGAGGCACATAGATTGAATGTGACAAGAAATAATAATAAAAAAGAAAAAACAAGTAATCATGATTAGATATGTTATAATTTGTCATTAAAGAGAAATATGACTAAAATATAATAGATAATTAGGAAATGTGATAACATTACTAAGCTTTTGAAAACTGAAAAACATGAAAAAAAAAATCATAGGTATTTTGTGTCACCATTCACTCCCAATTGTCTTTTTGTTGATACCATGCACCTTATTTTGATTATTCTCTGTTGGATTATAGTCTGTACTTTTCATTCCATCTTTGTTGGTTTCTCTTTTGTTACCATCTTGATTCTACTGGGTTTACTTTCGTGTCTACAGGTTCAGCTCTCTTGTCATTATATATTTCATTATATATTCATGCACTTGCTGACGTTCTGTTGCCTCTTTGACATGTCACAAAATATGTTGGAATATATTGGCACTTTTATCTATGTGTGTTTATGTATTTGCCTTAATTGTAATTAATACAGTAATACAGCATTGGAAATGTTCAGATTGAGACAAAGCATCTCTATTTTTGCTGGATTTAAACCATAACGGAGCAGCCCTTGCTATTTCCCTTAGATTTTTTACCACTGAAATTCAACCAGCAGATCATAAAATTACTATTACATTCAGACCTTTCATTGCTGTGTGCAGTTATGTTTTAGTGAAATTCAGATTTCAAAAATATGTAATCTTATGTGTTTCATAAAAAATTATGCTCCAGGAAAAAAATTATATTGTATTGAATGCAAATCTTTAGAACTTTTAGTACTGCTTCAGAGTCTGCATTATTTTTGTTGGACATTACAGCTGCAGTTCATCTCTGCAAGATTCAATTTTGCATTTTTCTTTTTGTCCACGTCCATAATTTTTTTAACTGTGTCTGCTACCAAAATATAAAGATATATGTACATACATTTATCTTACAATATTAGGTAATTATCTGAATGATATTGTTAGGGGCAACGGTTTAAAAAAAGGTTTATGTCCATCCTCAAATTAAGATAACATTTTGGGAAACTTGGGGCCTTCATTTCATGGAATTTTTGGAGATATGAGTTTTCAACATTTTCATGTATTTTCCAGTTGGAATAAGAGGTCATTTATAACAGGTGTGGATAAAGTTTGGTTAAAGATTTCCTATAACTTTCCTTGGGAAAATACCAAGTACGTGTTACACATTTATCAGCTTTACAGAAAACCTTTGTCATCATGTTTTCAGTTAACCATGTTTTTATTGCAGCATTAAAGTTTTACAGGTTTGCATGTCATTCAGAAGAAACCAGGTCAGTGTTTCTGAAAAACATGACAACTGACAGTGGTTTTGAAAAGTAGGTCATATTTGTAACTAATTTGATTGATGGTTGATGGTATGTAGTATGTATGAAACCTTTTCAGTAGTATGTTTGAAAGATTTTAGTAGTATGTATGAAAGGTAAAGCTTTTCACAAATTTATATAAAACAGTTCTCACTACTTTGTATGAGACTATTTGAGTAGGTTATATAGGAGTTTTGTGTTCAGTATTTTATTTGAGAGCTTTTCACTAGTGTTTGTCTGAGGTTTTCAGTAGGTTACAGTATGTAAGATGTAAATGCTTTCACTAGTTTATGTCAGAGCTTTTTACTAGTGTTTATGCACGTTTTTCAGTATGTTATATGGAAGAGTTTAATTTAATAAGTATCTTAATATATGGAAGTTAAATCTGATTGATGTCCCTGGAGAAACTTCATACTTTTTGGGTTTTTGTGCAGTTATAACTGATAAACTAGCTGCAGTTGCAAACATTTAGTCTGTTAGATTACTTTATGAATATTTCTAAAACATGTGTCAGGTTTGGGTGGAGGCTTTGAGGAGAAGAGAGAGAGAGAGAAGAGTAGGGAGATGATTTTTGTTGATTTAATTAAGGGCTAACAGGCAAATGAGGCAAAAATCCTAAGAAAAGCAAAAATACTGAAAACCAAACAAAATCCATCAGGGAATAATGCATGTGGGGAGCAAGAGACGGGGAAGCAACAAAACAAAAACAACACACCAGGAAACAGGAACTGCAGAGGTGGAGTATATATGGGGAACCGAACAAAGAATGTGCTAATGAGCTGATGTGGAGCAGGTGTGCACAGAGCTAACTACAAGGTAGCGAAGAGGAAAGAGACAGGCAACAGAGAGTTACTCAAGAAATACCAAACTGACAGAAGACAACTACACAGAAACAGAATGACAAAGGAACTGAAAATAAACTAAACAGAGGGCAGAACCTGACAACTTCACTGTTTTACAAGCACGTTTCACTACTTGCTTTGCATTTCCCTTTCAACTAAGGTCACTTCCAGAGGAATGAGTGAAATAGAAGCTACATTTGAAAGTGCTATTTCTCATCTTTAATAATATTAACTTGAATTGGT